TATGTTCACATTTTTCCAGCCTGATTCCTCTGGTGGCTCTGAGACACAAACTGCTTCTGTCATCAGGCGCTGAAACGCAGCTGGGCTGTGCTCCGACAGCATCACACGGCTTTTTCTTCCCTCTCTGTCTACGCAAACAACAATAAGAGAAGAAAAGCACAATGCAGAGGCTCCTGCCAACAGTGTGACACAGACAATATCTTTCAATATAACATGTTGACGGTTTGTTTGTCGGCTTTTGTTATCGTAAAGTCACCATGGTAATGTTGGAGAATACAGTGATGCTGTGTTGAGGAAAATAATAACAACTCCCATCCATCAATGTTTGCACAAAAAACCAAGAGCAGAAAGTTTTCAGCCGTCAACAGCCAACTTTTTAAACTTTTTAAGACAACCTGTCTCTTAATGCATCCAGAGACTCATTAAAGCCCTAATCCAATGAGAAAACTTTTAAATCCCACACTAAATACTCAATGTTCAAAACTTTATGTAGAACATTTCCTTGAGAGAGTTAAGATACTAAGCACAGCTTCCTGGATGTAAAATTAATCTGTCATGTTTAATTAAAGCTGGCATGGGCCGCCAATTATTCACCACTGAGCAGGAATCCAGGATGAGGAATAAAAAAACATCATGCGAGCATTTATGGCAGCGTGAGGCTCACAGGCGATGTAGCTGCGGGGTGGGAGCATTCAAGACAACACTTCACACATCAGGGAGACAGCAGAGCTCCAGGCAACACAACAGCCCCTCACTCTGCCCATCAACGAGGGTGTGATGAGCTCTGTTGCTCTGACCCTTCGCTCAGCACTCACAGCCTCCTGTATTTCACACTGTAGTAACCAGGGAGCATCTATCTATCTATCTATCTATCTATCTATCTATTGGATTTCCTTTTTTCAAGTGGCACATTATTACACTACGAACAACCTCATGATTGTGTGTTAGCAAGATAGAAAAGTGACAAACCTAACAAAATATCGCAGTAGAATTTTGAAAGATTGCCCCAGATACGCTCCTTAAGGTACCGTAAAAACTATTTTTTGCTTCCTTTCACATAAAACTGTTGCTTTTGATCTGAGGACCCTTATGGACTAAAGGAATATGAGTAACTTACAGGGTAATCAAGGAATGGACACATAATTTGAGGTAGCCAACAACCGGGTTTTATACATTCAGAGAACTTCTATTAACAAAAAAATGTACTGCTTCTCAATGAAACCAGGCCTCTAATTGAGCCTTTATTTGTCAAAATGTGTAGCCACAAGCTACGGTAATGTAGTGGTTAGCACTGTCGCCTCACAGCAAGAGGGTTCCTGGTTCAATCCCAGGAGGGAGCCCTTCTGTGTGGAGTTTGCATTTTCTCTCCGTGTCAGCGTGGGTTTTCTCCTGGTACTCCGGCTTCCTCCCACAGTCCAAAGACATGCAGGTTGGGGATAGGTTAACTGGTGACTCTGAACTGTCTGTAGGTTTGAATGTGAGTGTGAATGGTTGTCTACCCTGCTCCTCGCCCAATGTCAGCGACCCCCATGAGGATAAGCAGTTATGAAAATAGATGGATGGATGAATGTTAGTGTAGTAGGGGAGACCGGGGTTTGTTGGTACACTGCTATTATCTGGTCCTTTGAAGGTCACATAAACGAAACACAACACTGAACACTGTTTGCTTTCTTCACCTGCGCTCAACTTCTATGTTGTAACATTTGAAAGTCACTAACTTTTTTGGTGAGGGTAACATTTCAGTTTTATAGCACTGAAAGTAAAAAGTGGAGTCTGTGGACTAAGCGTATTATAAATCTGTGTTAGATAGCGATATTGTAAATGTGTTACTTCTAATTAGGCTGAGGAATATAGAAACCACATTTTGATCAAAGGTTTGAAAGTATGGAATGTGTGATGGTAAATGGCTAACATAATTTAATCCCAACGTTGGGTCATAGGATAATTTTTCTTAAAGATTAAAAACAGTCCCAACAATGTTTATATTGTTAGTTAATTGTTACTGTTTTGAATGACCCGTTTATGTTGCATATCCTGGTTACGATCATATTTGGGATATGGTGTTTACATGAACAGAGACTCCATAAACAACCCGGTTTCTTTCAGAGTACTCCAGCTAACATATTCTGTTCGTTTTTTTGTTTTTGTTTTCATAAGCAGAATAGGTGTTTACATGCTCAAACACATCAACGAGAAACTCCAAGAACTCAATCATAAAATGGGTTATTCGTGTCCATGTAAACACACACTGACGAATTACTTACAGATATTCTATTAAATGTTTGTGTTTTCTGGTTCTTACTTGAATAAAATGTTGACATTGTTTCTATTGGTTGTTTCATTTTTTTGTAACTATGCCATTTTAACAAGGTGCGAACCAACCCTGTGATTGGGCTGTTTAAGGGCTGGGCAAAAAAATGATATTATATTGATATTAATATAGATTTTGGATATCATAATATTGGAGAATTTGTAACTTATAAAAGCTGATTACAGTAAAGTCTGAATTGTCTAAATTTATCAGACTTCTAGCTGTTCTATTTGCCTTTACCAACCAGAGCATGTGAGCGGAGCGGAGCGGGTGAAAATTTCCACTCCTCGCTTGCAGACCTATCACTTAGCGCCGCTCGTCCGCTCTGCTTGGTTCTGCGCATTCTTCACTCCACTCCATCATAAATTTTATCCTGCTCCACTCGCTCACCACTCCGCTCAAAAAAACTGCGTTGTACTACCCTAACCTGTAATCTTCTATTCACAAATAAAACATGAGCTTGGTAGATTCTCCGGGGAAGCCTTCTCCCCTCTCCCCGCAGTTAGGGACCGTTCTACACGGTACCACTGTCGGCAGGGTGGAAATAAGTCAAAGTGTAGAGGAGACGGACTGGGTTAAGCGGCTGACCTCTGGGGAAACCCTCTCGCCTCTCCCCGCAGTTAGGGACCGTTCTCCAAGGTACCGCTGCTTCTCTTCTCAGTTTCTTTTTTGAAGTACACAGTAAACTCCATAGTTTTGAAAGCAAATAGTGTGGGTGTGCGCAGGTGCAAAGATGCATTCTGGGTGGGGCATGAGCGACCTGAGCGAAATTGGAGCGAGAGATAAGGCTCCGCTCCACCTTTTAAAAAAATAGCCGCTCCTCGCTCAACACAAAATCCTTCCGCTCCCCGCTCCGCTCTGCTCACATGCTCTGTTACCAACCTAGTCATTATGTCCACATAACTGATGATTATTTATCAAAAATCTCACTGTGTAAATAGTTTGTGAAAGCACCAATAGATAATCCTACAGTATCATCGCAGCATCAACTTTGAGGTATTTAGTAAAAAAAAAAAAAATTGTAATAGACTGCTGTTGTGTTTTTGTGCCAATCACCTTATTTCAGAAAACATTTGTGCATGTTAAAGCATATTTATTTATAGCTGACACCTTAACCTTTCATTTGTTGCTGATTAGAATATTCTATCAAACTATGCCAGAGAACTAAGACAGAGTTCAGTCTGCCAACCAACCCTGGTCTCCCCTATTTAATTTTAAGGCTGAAAAAAATGCTTATTTTCATCAACAAACTTACTCAGTTAATCAGTTTCCCTATGAAATGTCATAGTAGAGAAAAATGCAAATCGCAACTTATAAGATACCAACTGGTGATTTCTTCAAATGTTTTGTTTTGTCACACAAACAGTCCAAAACCTCCAAAATATTCAGTTTAAAATAATATAAAACACATTAGCAAAAATTAGGGGTGGCAATATCGAATATCTATCTTTAGGTAGCCTACTAGAATAATATAATCAATTGCCTTTTCAGTCCAATGGATACATTTTGCTGCTGCAAAATAATGACTTAACTGAGATGAACAGACTGACAGCTTTCTCTTATCAGATAAAATGGATGTTGACAAAGTTTTTCTTTGTGGACATTATTTACAGTCGAAATTTAAAATAGCAATCATATTGTATTGTGACTTAAGTATTGTGATAAAATCATATAGTGGATCTTCAGGTGATTTCCACCCAAGGCAAAAATCCTCACATTTGAGAACCAGCAAATATTTATATTTTGTTTATATAAACTTCTGCAAACTGGCGGCACAGTGGTGAAGTGGTAAGCATTGTCGCCTGGTTCCTGGATCGAACCCAGGGTGGGGGTGCCCTTCTGTGCAGAGTTTGCATGTTCTCCCTGTGTCAGTGTGGGTTTTCTCCAGGTACTCCAGCTTCCTCCCACAGTCCAAACACATGCAGGTTAAGTGGTGACTCTAAATTGGCCGTAGGTGTGAATGTGAGTGTGAATGGTTGTCTGTCTCTATGTGTCAGCCCTGTGATAGTCTGCTGACCTGTCCAGGGTGTACCTCTCGCCTAATGTCAGCTGGGATAGACTCCATTTATATATATCGCAATACTTGCAACATCGCAACATGATTAAAATCACAATTATATGGCATCGTGACTTAAGTATTGTGATAATATTGTATCGTGGATCTTCTGGTGATTCCCACCCCTAGCAAAAATACTCACATTTGAGAAGCTGGAACCAGTGTATGTTGATATTTTGTCTATATGAACTTGTGCAAATTAATTTTCTTGTCGATCACATACTCGATTATTCGACTAGTTTGCCGCATCAGTTCCAGTCAGCTACTTTTAATTCATGCTGTAGCTGTTTAGGTAAAGGACAGCTGGCAGTGGGACCAGCCAGCTCACTCACAGGGAAGTAAAGTAAAGCAATTACAACTGAGGCTCAACTACACAACAGTGTGCACAGCTTGTAATAACAGCTTCTTACAGCAGACTACAGAACATGCAGCTCAGCTCCATTTGGCAACAAGACAAACAAAAGCTCTCCAGCGCAGAAACACAACAGTCCATTAGCTTACTACGAACACCCAGAGGCACATATTGTCCTTCTCTCCTCCTCTCTGGATACATTCACTGCCTTTGCTGCGTCGCCAAAATCTTCCCAACATTGTACCACATCCAAACATCACAACACACATTGTCTCACTCACTTTCGTGCTTTGAAGTTCCCCATGTGTGCCGCGGAACTCCGGGGCTCTTGATAATCGCTCTGCCGGCGGATTTCAGCGCATCCATCCCGAGGTGTGTCTGCTCTGCTCTCCGTCAGGTGGATTCCCCAGACTCAGGACCACAGGGAGGTAAATACAGCAGGCTGGGCTCGACGGACGGAGGATGCGCCAAACAAGGAGAAGACGAAGAGGGAGCCCACTGATATAAGTTCCCACCCTGAATATCGCTCTGAATATTCCTCTCCTCTCACAGAGACTGATGAGCAGCTGAGGGCACGCACATGCACCTACTGCACCGTCTTCAAAGTTAAGGGCGTGTCCCTCTAACCTTGATGCGCTCACAGTCCAAAGTGCTCCAATCTGCAGGAGCGACCCTAATGACAAATCATGACAGTATTATATTACAGTATTAGGACTTATGATCACTAATGAGTTCATGGATAATGAGCTTATAACTGCGATTTTTGTCTCATGCGATTGTCTGTGGTTTATTGACCTATATGGTGGGTGTTGCGTTATTACAGAAGGCTATATTATCTCGCCAACATGTTTAATATTTCTGCTTTTTTAATATCAGAAATCAAATCATAGCCTTATCTAGTGATAGACTAGGTTAGTGCCTCTTTCTCCCAGCATTCCCATTTTCCCCAGACTTGATCACAAGTATGTCATGTGCTTAAAAAACATCGGTGACAGCAGATTTTGCCACTTATAATAAACTAAAAGAAACAAAACCAGGCTTCATTCCAAACACATAATTTCAGGTTTAATTTTTGTATGTTGGCGCCCTCTACTGATTGCAACCTGCCATTACAGCGTTCGCATCCTCACTCACTCACTGCACTCACTGAATAAGCATGATATTATTTGTGGATATCAGTATGGTTGGATGACTGGAAATGCCTACAGGGGCCCCTTTGGCCTTCATCTGCAAAATGTCACTTAAATTACCATGTACTGAGCAGGAAGAGACACAAAAAGGCCACAAAGAGATTCAAAGGAGCTGTAAAAAGACACAAAATAACTACAAAAAGGGGCAAAACAACCATAAAGAGATACAAAATGACTGCAAATAGACACAATAATGACAAAATGAGCCAAGAGACAAGCAAAAAAACAAAAAGATGCGCAACGACTACAAAGAGAAGCAACGCAAAAACAAAAAAGAGGGTGAAGATTTCTATTTTTTCTTTAATTTGACACCTCTTTTCCTCACTTACCTCACTTCCTTTCCTCCCCTTTCCTCAGCACTGATTGGTTCCTTTCACGCATTGACCTGATTGAGGTCACCTGTTCACCCCATTTAAACCCTGAACTCATTCTTTCGTCATCGTCACATGGGGCGGCAGTGCTGGTGAGCAGTTTCCTTCTCTTCAGTTTATCCTGTACATTATTAGTTTAACTTATTAGCATTATTTATCCTTATTAAGATGGACATCTGATTAATTTGACTGAAGTTCTCATTTTTATATGTTTCTTTCAGATTCATTTTAATTAATCTGAGGGGTCAAAGATGATTAACAGTAAAGTAAAGCAGACTTTCCTCTGATATTTGCTTTTTTTCATTTGTGAATTACTAGATTGTTTTACTTCTGCAAAATATTTAAATAACACAAGGGGGAAAATGTGTTGAACTGGACATGGAGGCAGTTACAAGGGTCACAAGAAGACATCTAAAGGTCTAGTTCGTAGTACTTAGTGGCATCTACTGTAGCAGTGAGGTTGCAGAATGGAAACCTCTCCCGTGTGCTGTAACAGCTGAAATTGTGAAATGTACCTTTATGACAGTAGATACGAGACAAAGCATCATCAGACAGTGCCTCATGTTGTTGAGTTAGTTGGGCAGCTATGTTGCTGGAAACGGATGTCTGTTGCTGAGCTCCTGTTTCATTTTACCTCTCACCTTAAGTGTGATGTTTGGTTCAGTGTCACCTCGGTTTTGTTCATGTATGATAAGATAGTAGCTGTACAACCAGGCTTGGTAAGCACTGCTGTGAGTTTTTATTATCTTCTTCCACACTCTTTAAGCTGCCTCAAACAAGAAAGACGGACCCACATTGTCACAGTGCCAAGCATGTAGGAGAACAATGGTGGCTGACCTTGGTTTGTCTGTTCTGGGCTACTGAAGAACAACAAGGATTCCACGATGTCTACACTGACAAAAACGCAGCAATTCTTACTTATGGGTGATTATAAATTAAAGGTAGGATCTGGAGGATTTTCAAACAAAACAAAATATAGACATATACAAATGAAATCCTGCTTAATCATCACCTATGGGCTTCTACTCATGTGTGGTGGTGTCTCTGTTTGCAGAGCTCCTGCCCTTTAACTGTATTTTGATGTTTTTGTGAGCTCGGACCGCTTCTGGGCGGAGATTTCCCCAGCCAATGAGAGAGCGCAGATGCCGTGCCCGAGCGTGTCCGAGGGTGCACCAGCGCGAGCCTTGCCTGAACCTCTTCTGTGAAGCCTTCTTCCGTACCTTCAGGCTCCGTACACCCGGGAGAGTTGAGCCTGATAGGAGGGGCCGAATTTGAATGTGTGTTTACAAACAGCAACTGGAAAATCCTCCAGACCCTACCTTTAACATATACTAATTAATATTGCACCCTTTCTGCCAATAGATGCCCCTAAATCCTACACACGGGACCTTTTTTAAAGGAGCAGTGTGTAAGATTTAAGGGGACATAGTGGCATCTAGTGGTGAGGATAGCAGATTGTAACCAGCAGAAACTTCTCAGGTGAGGATTCCTTCAGTGTTCGGGAGGTCTTTATCGGGAGCCGAATTATCCGCAGAGGTCTCTTCCCGTGATTTATACCATTAAAAACACTTGATGAAGCAGTTTCACGTTACAAAAAAGTGTTTCTCCGAAGCTGCTCAGCTCTTCGGAGACAGGCTACTAGTACAGCACCTGCTAATGTATGCTTACCTATTTTCTCTGATAATTTAAGATCTAGACGTTCAGGAGTTTTTTACCAGGAGCTGAATGATAATTTAAACCGGTAAATAACTGAATAAAGCAGTTTCATGTTAAAAATCTGTGTTTTTCCAATGCTGTTGTCGTAAAGGGGCTGCTATGAACGGCTCTACCTACAGTCAGTGTTGGTTTGTCCGTTCTGGGCTACTGTAGAAACATGGCGGTGTAACATGGCGGACTGCGTGGACTAGGACCCACTCCCTATATCGATATAAACAGCTCAAGGCAACAAAAATACAACGATTCTTATATTCGTTTTTGCCACTAGATGCCCCTAAATCCTACACATTGGACCTATTTAAGAGGTCACAACCCAAAGAGGTCTAGAACCACTAGCTTAGATTTCCCTCTGTGTCACCGGTGATGAGGATATACAGCAAGTGCTGGATGGAGCAGTGCGTGACAACAACCCCACCCACATTTAAGAGTACTGTTTGCGTTGGAAACAATAAACAGACCTAGGGTCTAGGTACCATGTCTGAAGGGTTACTTTTGGTTCCAAAGGTACCATACTGAAAGTGTTTGGTGGAAACGGGGCTTAAGATGATTACTATAACCTGCAACATTCCCTATTCAATTTCAGAAGGGCGACCTTTGTCTGATTTTGCATTATCCCAAAGTGTCCTGTCTGTACTTACTGTGAAGCTATACAATGAAGGCAAAAATAATACCGTATTAGCACATAACTCTCTACTCTCTGACTCCACTTGAAGCTGAAAGCGAGAGACACAGAACATGCATTGTGTTTTTGTCCTTCATGGTGAAATCTTTATTCAGTTTCTCTCCACAACCCAGCACAGGTTATCATGTCATGTCCGAGTTCAACTCTCACAAGTATTTCACACTCAGGAAGCTAAGCAGAGCATGTATAATCATGTATTTCTCATAAATCATCTAGTAGGGGTTATTAGAGTTTAGCCTGAGGTGGCATGCTGCTGTTGTAATTTTGGTGCTCTGTGATCATTTGAGAGGGTCTTTAGTTTATATTTAATGCTCTCAGCAGCGCACACTACTGCAACTACACCGACTGCTGTGCATGTGGGCATATATGTGTGTGTGTGTGTATATGAGTGAGTGTGTGAATCTGCGTGAGTGTTTATCCTGGATACACAGCAAAGAGCAGAATCATGCAGCTACTTTTAAATTTAAGACTCTTCAGTAAAAGACTGCAGTGTTGCTGCCGTGTTGTCACCGATGCGTGCATGTATCTGCATTAGAATGAGCATTTTTACAAACTAAAGCAATGTCTCCCTCTCTGGTGAAACAAAATTCCCTCTTGAAGGCTGGACTAAAACAATGCGAAAGTGACATTGCCTCCTGTCTGCTTCCATGGAAGACTGTGGATTTCAGATTAATAGTAATAATTAGTGGTGTTTATGAGCCATCCAATCGATTCAGTCACTGCTGTAATGTCACAGAGCACCTTTTACTCCAATAGAGAACAACAGTTACAGGCTTCAACAGTTTCCAGATGTCACTTTCAACTGGTTCACAAAAGTGTAATCGAACAGTGCAGCATGCGTCGTTTAATTTAAGTTGTCCAATTCAGGTGTGACCACTGCATCTTAAAACACTGGAGATATGCTTTCAGGTAGAAAATAAATCACCCCTACTGTCTTGCATCGTTGCCTGGGGAGCATGTTATATTTACTTGCTGACACGACAGTTGTTAGATTTTTAAACCCCATAAAACAAATCATGCTTGTGGGGGAGTTTTTATTTGTTAAGGGAGCAGAAAGAGGGAGGTGAGGTCACTAAAAGAAGTGTAAGAGTACAGCCAGACAGGAGAGGGCTTCATGAAATAGATTTATGAGAGAGGGGGGTGTAAGGTAGTCTCTTTCAGAAAGGACAACATAGAAAAAAAACAGACTGAACTAGTCCGCTAACATGCTCTCAGTCACTTCTGTTTTAGATTCCTTGATGGATGCTATCCTGTCTGCTTTAACAGTTTATCCCCCTCCGATGTATATGTCACAGTCTCATGCTATTTGTCTCATACACACACTCACACACTTTTTCATTTGCTCTCTCTAAACCCGCATCTTCCTTAGAGGCTGGAGCTAGAAGGCAACTGGTGGGAGGGCCTGTCTTGGAAGCAGGAGGCG